TTAGCGAGTTGAAATCGGAACTCGAGTGATGGTGGCGTTGGCGGTACTAGTGACAATTGGAGTAACAATGGAAACATGGTTATGCGGGTTTCTCTTTCTAGGAGATGGCAAATAATAAGTTTAAGAGTATCAGTCAACTATCTTCTTATTAAGATGTTCATGTCCACAACTAATCTATAATCTTACTATCCACATTTTGTTTTCCACGTCCACACTTCAGTTTGTTTACACATTAATATAATATATATATATATACATATATATATATATACATATATATATATACATATATATATACATATATAAAGTATAGGAATATGGATCTTAAAAGATAGAGAAATTTATATGTAATTTATTATGATAATTAACTTTGTTTAATATGTTTTAGAATTTAAGATAAATGTAAATGAAAATAGAAGGTGAAATAAGAAATAATAAAATGAATAAAAAGAAAATAATAAAGTGAAGAAGAAGAGGATGAGAGAGATGCTTGTGAATAAAATGGATTAATAAAGATAATGATAATGAATTAGATGTAAGGTCATAAGAGTCTTTTAGAAAATGAAAAGTGTGTCATAAGCACAAAGTGTCTTATAATATAATTGTAATGTGAAAAAGTGCCTCTAGATGTAAAAAATTCATATTTATAACGTCGTAATCAAAACATTTAACCATAAACTCTAAATCCTAAATTCTATACCTTTAGATAAATCATAAACTCTTGGATAAATATTAAACACTAAATCAAAAACACTAAACACTAATTTTAAAAATACTAAACCTTTATCATAATCCCTAAACCCTTGGATAAATTGTAAACTCTAGGGTTTTTGGTGTATCCAAGGGTGAAGAATTTAGTGTTTAAAATCTAGTGCTTAGTATTTAGGTTTAGTGTTTTGATGATGGCTTTAAAAATATTTTTAAAAATGTTCCTTTTAAGAAACTATTACTATTATTTATTTATTTTTATCCAAGGGTTTAGGGTTATGATCAAGGATTTAGTGTTTTTAAGATTTAGTGTTTAGTGTTTTTGATTTAGGATTTATCTGAAGGCTTATGGTTTACGCAAGGGTTTAGGGTTTAATATTTAGGGTTTATGGTTTAGTATTTTTTGACGGCGTTAATAGCATTTAATAAAATAAAAAAATTGCAACTATTGCTTTATATTTTTATTTTAAAATATAATATAACTTGATAATATTTTATTTCTTTTTAAAAGATATTAAATAATACAAGTCTATTAGTTGGTGAACCTAGAGATTCATCCTAGAGAATAAACCCAAAAACACTAATTCTTAAACACAACCCTTGGATAAACCATAAACCGTTTACAATTTATTTAAGGGTTAAGGTATTAGGATAAAGGGTTAAGAGTTTTTATAATTTAGCCTTTTTGATTTAGTGTTTAAGATATATCAAAGGGTCCAGGATTTAGGGTTTAGCGTTAAAAATATATATTTTCTTTTTTACAGCTATTACTATTTTTTATTTATTTTATCTTTTAATTTTAAAAACATAATATAACTTGATAATATTTTTTTCTTTTTAAAAAATATATAAATATAAAATAACAGAATCATATTAGTTGGTAAACCTAAAAATTCATCTTAGAGAATGAACTAAAGAATAAGTCTTAGTCAGCAGTAGTGTTGATAACATTTTTGGTTATATTAGGCTGAAGGTAATGAGCAATGAAACTCCTTTTATTAGGTAATTTGACATTTTAATGAGCCCAGTATAGAAAGGGATTGTAGGATATAAGATTGTGATTCCTAATTCTAAAAATTATTATTCCAAACTTCCTTTTCTGTTCATAGAGTCCTACAAAACTTATTAAAGACAGAAGAAGAAAAAGAAATGCTTGAGTCAACTATCACTAAGCTTCAAGCATTTTCTTTGAAGATAAAAGCGCCAAAAAGATATGACATCTTATATGCGATGCATGTCATGTGGCAGTAACATCATAACATGAGGTGCAATAAATATTGCTCAAGATGTGAAGAACCAGAAGAATTTATAATTCATGCCATTTTTGAGTATCCGCCATCTCCTCAAGTTTGGACCCTTTCAGCGACTCCGACAAGTCAAAATATATTTTTGGTCCACAGCATTTATGCTAATATGGATTATCTCTTCTAGAGGAAGAACATCGACATTGTCGAACCAGAATATGGATTATCTTTTCTAGAGAATAAACATCATTGTTGAACCAGAACTAGACAAAGACTCATATCTCTGGATAATCAGGTATATTTGGAAGGTCCGGTATAACAAACTTTTAGGGGGATAGATATAGATCTATTGGAGCTATTTCGTTATGCTGAGTGGGAATATCAAGTCTGGTTTAATGCAAACGAGATGGTGTTACTAATGCTACAAAATCATAGTATTGAGGAATCCCAAATCATAAACTTGGATAATATCTGTATGATAGATGGCTCATAGACATCCACATCATAGTTCAGTAGAAGTGGATGAGTTTAGATGGATAGCTTTGGGAAGGTTCAATTTATAGGAACGAGAAATTTGTTAGATTAACCTTCACCGTATCCGCATGCGAACTAATTAGTCAAACTGAAATACTTAACAATATGCAACTCAAGAAAACAATTTCTGGGGTCGTTATCAATCTCTATAACTAACCAAAATTTCAACATTTTCCGTAAAAGGTTATTTAATGCCTTGACCTGATTTTCTTTGACAATGATCACCTCGAACTGTGATTTTGAGACAACCTTTTAATCGAGTGGTTTAACTAAGATTTCATAATATCTATACATTAAAAGATTTGGATTTTGAATTTTGAAAAGGACAATTTAATAAAAATGGTTAGAAAATATCTTCTAGCATAATGTGTAATTAGAACCTCTGAGTTTACATATATACTATTCCCTTTGTTTCATAATACAACTAGTTTTAGAAACAAAAAAAAATTCTTTTAAATACTCATTCCATTTCATTTTAATTAACGTTTATAGATTTATGTATACAGATTAAGAAAACAGTTAATGTTATATATTTTACAAGCAAAAATATTATTAAACGATATACCTAATAGTATTTCAACCAACAGAAAAATAAATTGACAATATAAAGAATCATATATCATATAAAATTAAGAAAATTTGCATTGAAATTCTGAAACTATATTTATTTGTAACAAAAATCTTACTCCACTATATTAAACTAAAACGGAGGTAGTACAAGTAATTCTTATATTTTATTGCAACTTTTATATTTATTGGATATTTTGTGGTTAATTCAATAATACATCTTTTTATTATTGGTTAAATTTATATACTAAATGCTTCTTTTGCAAAAATAATACTCACTCTGTTTCAATAAGATCCATGTTCTAGAAAAAATATATTTCTTTCAAAAATTATACTTTTTACATTTTTAATGTATTAATTAATGATAAATAAAAAAAAACTTAATTGTTTTTATTAAAATTCTATTGGTTAAAAATTATGGGGAATTGTTAGCTACAAAAATAATACATTGGTAAATCAAAATTTTATATATTTTGTTAACATGTACTCCTCTGTTTCATAATGTTACATGTTTAAAAAAAAAAAAAATTCAAAAAATACATTTTTTTACCTTTTCAAGGTATATTTTGTAAAATAATAATGATTAATTAAAAATTTCAAAAAAAATAATTGCATTTATTGGATTTTCATTGATTTAGATTTATAGAAAAATGATAATCACAAAAAAAACTATGTATTTATTAAGTGTTTTATTAATATGTGTGAAAAAATAAAATATGCAACAAATTGAAACATAGGAAGTATGAAAAAACTAAAACATACAACTTTTTGAAACAGAGTGAGTAATTTTTAATAACACTATCTATAGTATTAAAAGAGAAATACAAAATATAAATCCTTAATTTTACCAGCTATTTACATTAGAATGCCATTGAGATATTTATTGAACCTAAATTTAAGTATGCTTGTCTTTTTCTAGTTTAAACAATAGATTTAAATATTTAATATATTTTCATAATTTAAATAATAAATTTCCTTAGTAAAATCTTAACCAAAATAAATTTTCTAATATATTTGGTATTAATATATTAAATATTTTAATATTTATTAGTAATAAATAATATGTTCTTTTTTTGAAGAAATTTATTTTATAGAAGTTATAGTTCTAAATATGTTTATATTTTTTATAATTTTTTAAGGGATGCTAAGATTTTAAAATTGGAAAAAATTATGACCCACCTCTATATTATTTTAATTAGGAAATTTAAAATTTAAATCAGAATATTTTATTAAAGTTTTAATTTGACTTATTATAACAGTAGAGAATCTAAATTTATGTTTAAATATTATAAAACATCATTTAATATAAACAAAAAACATTAAAATAAATAGCTGTTGTCAAGGTCTAGTTTTAATTAAAGCTACTCACATTTTGAAACAGTATATGTAGATAGCAACGACCGTTACTACTTTAGGAAAGAGTTTGTTGATGAAAATTTAAAAGCCGTGAACTAATCATAGGTGTTGGCTTTGATTTACGATTCGTTGACTGGGATATTTTATCAGAGTTTCTTTACATTTGAATGTCCAAAAAGTAAGATTCATGTCATGGCCAAAAAGTAAGATTCATGTCATTTGAAACTCCAGATACCTCAAAGACTTGGAAAGGCTATGAATTTCGGAGATATTCCTCGGATTTACAAACTTTTTGAGTAAAAACTTTTTTTGTCGGCAACTCTAACTAATCTCTTTTTTTCGCATACATCAAAAAGTGAATAATTAATTCGCACTGAAAACACAATTTTCTTTTCACACTGAAAACACATTACACATGCCGGAGGAGAAGTTATACAGAAACATTAAATTAATTAACATCTCAACAATACATAACGGCGCACACGGGATGTTATTGAAAAAGTCATATTAATGCTTTCAAAGTCAAAAACTTTGAACTTCTCAATATATGCATACTAGCCGGTCGTCTTCTTTCACCTTCGTCTCTCGGTTCAGATTATGTCATAAATGTGTATTTAATGATTGCGAATAATCAAAAAAGAAAAGAAGAAGAAGGGCTTCTTGAGTTTTAATTCTGTGGAAGTTCAACTATATTTACGGGAGAAAAAATCTTTCAAAGGAAAAGCTTTTTTCGCTTGAAGTTGTTCTGTGAGCTCTAATGGCAGATAAGGTGGAGGAAAGAACGCTACAGCAGACTTCCACGTGGGCAGTCGCCGTGGTTTGCTTCTTCTTGCTTCTAATTTCCATTGTCATTGAGAAACTGATTCACAAATTAGGAACCGTAAGTCCCCTTTGTGTTTACTTCTTTCTCCTTCTTTTTGAATCTTGATTGTCTCCGTTCTTAGTTCTCTGTTTTGGTGTTCTTGATTATATGTTTCTTCTTTTTGCTCTAATTCTTATTCTGTTTTGTTCTTCTTGTTTATTGACTCGATTTCTTCCCTTTGCTATGTTTGTGTGTTCATTTAGTTCTTGATTCTTGTCTAATTATGTTTCTTCTTTTTTATTCACTCTTTTTGTGTCCGTTTGCTGTTTCTTGATTCTCTTTTTCTTTTATTTGCTCTGGTTCTGTGTCTGTTTAGTTCTTGATTCTATGTATTTCTGACTCTGTTAAGTTCTGTTTCGTCATTACAAAAGTCAGACCTGATCTCATAAATTAAATGTAATCTATGTTCGCAACTGCCAAAATCCAAAAGGGGTTTACAAGTTTTTGTGTGTGTTGCATTGTTTCATAGTGTTGCTCTGTTTCTGATGCAAAACATAACTAACAAATCCATGCTCTGTTTTTCTTCATCAACTTCTGACAGTGGTTTAGAAGGAAGAATAAGAAAGCTCTGTATGAAGCTCTTGAAAAGGTGAAGGCAGGTAAAAAAAAAACATAGTATTAGTTTAAAACATATTATTTCCCTCCCAAAGATTTCTTTTTAAATATAAAGCTTAGTCTTGTATTAATTAAATGTAAATTTGCAGAGCTTATGCTGATGGGATTCATATCACTACTGCTAACAATTGGACAAAACTATATATCAGAAATTTGCATCTCCGAGAGCATCGCAGCATCAATGCGCCCTTGCAGTAAATCCGAAGAGTTGAGAGAGTATCCACCTAAGAAAAAAGATACAGGAACTACTGACGAAGGAGATGAAGAAAACTCTGGTCGAAAGCTTCTCGAATTAGTCGAAACTTTCATTCCTCGAAGGAGTTTGGCTACCAAAGGCTATGACAAATGTGCGGAGAAGGTACAGATTCATTTTTATTAAATAAATCAATCTGTACAATTCGTTAATGCATACCCTTCTCCAGTATTTGACGGATGATAATTCTAATGTTTGTATCTAGGGGAAAGTGGCGTTCGTATCATCATATGGGATGCATCAACTGCATATATTCATCTTTGTTCTTGCTGTTTGCCATGTTATCTTCTGCATTGTTACATATGCTTTGGGAAAGATCAAGGTACATTATTTTATATTTCATCGACATTCTTGTAAAAATCGGTTGAGATATTTGCTTCTTTCGCTAAAGATTGTTTTATTTTGTTTCTTTATGTGATCTCAGATGAGAAGGTGGAAGAGGTGGGAAGAGGAGACAAAGACAATAGAATATCAGTATTCACATGGTATATTTATATATGTATAGCTTACAAGCTTGGAATGAACGAAGATGAATGTGAAGCTTTAACAAGGGATCTTTTCGATTAATGCAGATCCTGAGAGGTTTAGGTTTGCAAGGGATACCTCTTTTGGGCGTAGACATCTGAACTACTGGAGCAAATCGACAATTACTCTGTGGATTGTATGTTTCTTCAGGCAGTTCTTTGGATCTGTCACCAAAGTTGATTACTTAACACTGAGACATGGTTTCATCATGGTAAAATCTTTTTCTCGATTTTTTTGTATTTTTTCCATTGTTTGAAAACAGCTGGTCTCTCAAAACAAAGTTCTAACGGCATTGCGAATATGCTTCTTCTTCTTCTTCTTCTTCTTCTTCTTCTTCTTCAGGCCCATTTGGCTCCTGGGAGTGACTCGAGGTTCGATTTCCGGAAGTACATTCAAAGATCTTTAGAGGAAGACTTCAAAACCATCGTTGAAATCAGGTATAGTGACTACTGACTGGTAGTTCTTAAACAACTCAAACCAGTTCACTAATTTCCTCTTAGTCTGATATTCAATTGCTTATATCTTACAGTCCTGTGATCTGGTTTGTAGCCGTGCTATTTCTCCTGACCACCACACACGGTACACTCACTTTCAAAACATTGCTACATTGATATCTCTTATACAACAATCAAAAACTAATTAATATATTTGGTCTAATTTTCATATAAACAGGATTGAATTCTTACCTCTGGCAACCATTCATTCCCTTAGTCGTAAGCAACAAAACGTTACAAAAAGGAAATATTTTCTTTGGGTTTGGGTGCCTTCGTCTCTAACAAGAATCAATGTATATAACAAACTGCAGGTGATACTTATAGTTGGAACAAAACTTCAAGTGATAATAACAAAACTAGGACTTTTAATTCAAGAGAAAGGAGAGATAGTGAAAGGTATGCCTCTAGTTCAGCCCGGTGACCATCTCTTCTGGTTCGGTCGTCCACGTTTCATTCTCTTCCTCGTTCACTTGGTCCTTTTCACGGTACTATACATACTTTCACGAACTCATTTCTTTCCTTCTTACAAAATCTGCCATAACTGTCTTAAATAAAAAACACACATAAATCTTTTTGCCAATTTGCAGAATGCGTTTCAACTAGCTTTCTTTGCCTGGAGTACGGTAAGCAAGCAAAAACCAATTCTCCACTACCAGTATCTTTAGCATCCTTCATTGACATCACATTTTGCTATTTCTGCAGTATGAGTTCGGGCTTGAGAACTGTTTCCACAAAAGTACTGTAGATGTGGTCATCAGAATTTCAATTGGGTAAGTCAAAATTTTCATCCTTTAGCCAATCATAGAAACAGAGAGAAATCATCAAACTAACTAAAAAAGTCACAAACATTTATTTAATATTTCTACGTAAATCTTGCAGAGTTATAGTACAGTTTCTTTGCAGCTACGTTACTCTTCCTCTTTACGCTCTTGTTACTCAGGTAAGTCACTCACACATACACATAATTACGCAAATATGTGAAATTTTTAAGTTTCATATTCTGAAAGTTTTGAATATTATTTGTTTAGATGGGTTCAAAGATGAAACCTACAGTGTTCAACGAGAGAGTAGCAGTAGCTTTAAAGAGTTGGCATCGCACAGCTAAGAAGCAAATCAAACATGGAAGAACCTCAGAGTCAACGACACCTTTCTCTAGCCGTCCAGCTACACCTACACATGGTTCTTCTCCGATCCATCTCCTACGAAACGTCCACAAACGAAGCAGAAGCGCTGATGAAAGCTTCGCTAACTCGCTGTCTCCGAGAAACTCTGACTTCGACACGTGGGATGTTGAGTCTCAACACGATCCTTCTTCTTCTTCTTCGGCAAAGTATCATTCTAGATTTAGGGAAGAAGACTCAGAGAAGGAGAAGCCATCATCTTCAGCTGTGGACCTTACTCCTGGACCTGGACAAATAAGAACTCACCAGCATGAGATTAGTAGTATAAGCTTGAGGGATTTTTCTTTTAAGCGATGATTTAGTTTCTTAAACTGATTTATTAATATGTTTATAAGTTTTTGAGGAAACAGTGTTCTTGTGTACATTTTCACCTTGTTTATATCTATCAGTTTTCAGTTTTCTCTGAAATTCATCAGCCTCCTATATCCAGAATTCTCAATGTAGATCTAGCAATCAGCAGCTACGAAAGTGCTATCTTAATTGTCATAGAAAATGTTTCAGGAAGAAATCTATGGGAAGAATGCTTTGAGCTAGCTAAGATATGTTCACTTTGAAGTTGGCACACAAACTGTAATTGTGATATTAGCTCATATATCAAAAGAATGCATGGAATTATCTGAAACAAGTATAGGAGGTTTGATATTCCTTGAGATGAGTTCTTTTCAAGCTACTGGTTCCATAAAAAACTTTTAAATATGTTAGCGGAGTTCCTTGGTTATTGCAAAATACCAACCATTAATCCTAGAAGTTGTTCTCTTATGGCCACTGATATTGTCATTTCTTACAAAAGACGAATATGTTTACACGGGGTGTTACAATAAGAGGAAGCTGATAGTACCAAGAGAAAGAAACAAGATTGTCGGATACAAGTAAATGGGAGACCAACATAAACACCATGACATGATATGATGATCATCTCAGTGGAACTTGAGGCTGGTCAAGACATTGTTGTTGACAGGATCCGCCAAGTGATCAAGAAGGTTCTGGTAAGGCCCCACACCAGTCACTAGTCCCTGAATGAAATAGCCTAGGATGGCCAACATTGCAAGTCTACCGTTCTTGACCTCCTTGAGTTTCAACTCCTTCATCGACTTCTCATCTTTCCCAAACCCTAGAGGGTTAAAGAAAGGTCCGCCGGGGTAAGCCGGGTCGCCTGAACCGGCAAACCCTTTCTCTAGACCCAAGAAGTATTGTTTACCCATAGATCCTGGGTTGTACCAGTCCTGCAACCTCCTGTGCTCAGCAAAACCCATCAAAGCCATCTCGAGGACAAAGAGTGTGTAAGGGTCTGCCCAGTAGCTGTATGTCCCTGCAGGTGGAATCACACCGGTTTGGAACCAGGGAAGGGCAGTGTCCGCTGGAATCAGACCGGCCTTTCCTAGAATCTCAGGTGCAATAGCTCCAGCTGCACCCAACATAGCGAACCTCCCGTTGATGATCTCTCCGTAGGCTAACCATCTTGGCTCGATGAAACCTCCAGTACCCTCTGGGTCTGAAAGACCAAGCGGGTCGAATCCAAAGTCGCCAGGTAAGCTGCAGAGTCACAACATCTTCCCAGTTACGAATCATTTTCTATGAAGTCAACATGTTTTATAGATCATGAAGCTTAAAGAAATCAATTACCTGCCATCCAAGTAAGAGAGACTCTGGGATGATGCAAACCACAATTGCCTGTTTGCTCCTTGCTGAAACCAAAACACACACAAATCCAGTATCAGATTATTCAGTTCAAATACATGAGAGAGAGAGTTTTCTGGAAAAAAAAAAGAAAACAAGAGAGGACCATTGTACCTTGGCAGGTGGAGTTGAGGCAGCCTTAACAACAAAGGAAGTCTTCCTCAGCGACACAGCTGGTTTTGAGCCGAATATCTGTCTAGAGGTCTGAACAGAGGAGGTGAGTGAAGAAGACACAAGTGCTTGTGCTGCCATTGTTTGCTCTGTTCCTTAAACTCTTCTCTCTGTCACCAAGAGTCGATGATTGTTCAGTAATGGTCTGAAGGGTGGTGTTAAGAGAGTACAAGGAACACGGTCCATTAGAACTACTTGTGGCTTTGAATAGCTGACTGGTTTTGCTCAGATTAGATTAGTATCTGCTTCACCAACTATAAATGCCCACGTGGCAACATGAGCTGGATAAGAGATTTTGTTCGAGTGTTTTCCTGGGATCAAATTTCGTGTGTTATTCCTTATCTGCCACACAAGGAAAAGAAATCTTTACAATGAAGCCAAGAGTGCATTACAGTAACAGCATCTCCAATCAACCAATCGCGGATCGCCACGTGTTGTATGGACCCGCAAATAGTGCAAAAATTTATTAAGGAAGAGTTTTTAAAAGAAGATTTTAATAACTGAATTATTAACTTTTTATTGGATCTACTGATTATTTAATTATTTTTTTCTTAAAGACTTCCTCTTCCCCTTAAGAACCTCCATTGTACATGTTCTAAAGAGCATATTTGAAATTCTCTCTTACTTATTAAGAGTATGATTGTAAATATTTTGGAATAAATTAGAGTAAGGCCTCGATTGGTACAGAAGATGATAAAGCAGATGATAAAGCAATAACAGTATGCTGCAGAAGCATTATGCTACAGAAGTTGTATGTTTTCATTAAAATTTTTAATAAAGTGATTGACAGAAAATTAGTAGTATACGATTTTAAAATTGTCATAATAGTTAATAAAACAATATATTTCTTTTAAAATAATATATATATATAAATAATATAGTAATATTATATAATTTTATTAAAAATAATGAACTTTCATTATATAAATTATATTTAAAAATGTAAAATTTATTTAATATTAAATTATTTTTGGATATAAACATGTTACTCATATATAAAATCATAGTTATAATTTAATTAATTATTATTAAATTATAATTATTATTAAATAAATAAATAAATTAATTATATTATATATATAAATTAATTTTTAATTTATATATAAATTATTATTATTTATTTATTGGTAGAGCACTAAATTACTCATATATAAAATTATCCTAAAAGTTAATATATAATTTATTTATTAGTATCTAAATAATATGTTTATATCGATAATATATAAATTATATTATGTTATGTTTGTTATTAAAAATAATGAATGATATATGTAATTATATAAATTATATTATATTTTAAATGTGAAATATTGTTCTTTTAAAAAAAAAAAATATAATTTTATTTTATTTTTTAAAAATATAATTTTATATTTAGTTATAAAAATATTTTTATATTATTAAAAAGTAAATTAATTATATATAAATATTATTAAGTTTTATATTTTCTATATGCAAATGCTCTATATGAGAGCATTGAGCAAAAAACATTTGGAGAGCATTTGCATTTGGTAAATGCTTTTCTAAATGATTCTTTGCCAAATGTTGATTAGATAATATCATAATAGAGAACATAATGCTTATGCTAATGCTCTATCAATCAACCCCTAAATATTATTCTTATGGGCTCATAGTAGTTGGAATAAATATTTCTTTTTGTAATCAAGTATTATGTTGTTTGTTCAGCAGGCCTGTCTCATTTTTTTATTGGGCCCAGTGCAAACTAAAATATTATAAGAGAAATATAAAATTTTAGAGCATCTTTAACGCTAAAAAAAGATGGGCTCTTAAGCCCAAAAAATAATTAAACAAATGAAAAAAAAAAGAAAAAAGGTAAGAGGCGAGTGTCTTGTTCTCTTGTGGAAGAGGCGCCTCTTCTGTTGGTTCTTCGTCTCTCTCTCCCTTTGTTTTTGGAATTTCGTCAAAATCACCGTCAAGAGAGAAAGTCTGTTGTTTTTCTTCGCGTGTGTGGCCGTGTCGCGTAGTGGCGATTCTCTGCATCGTCGGCTTCTCCTCACAAGAAAGCTCATGGTGGCCAGGGAGGATACTGAGACAAGATGATCTTGATTCTACTACTATCACTTCTCCACGATCTGGTACTAATTAAGCTTTTAGGGAGAGAAGATGCAAGTAAGTCTCTTCTTTTAATTGTATACTTAAAAAAAACGTCTGCTTAGGTTTTGGATTTGATTACTGAAAGCATTTTTTGTTCATTGGTTTTAGAGATTGGTACGATTTGGAAACGGGTGAAGCCGTTTAGGTGTGGCGATTTTGGTGACTGCATTGAGAAGGTGGAAATTTTGCAAAAGTTGACAGTTAAAAGATCAAACCACTTAATCGTCAACAAGTTTAACAATGCGATCCTAGCGGATGACAAACATTTGCCCATGTAAGTAAAGATGATCACTTTTTCTTATTCGGATTGATTGCGTTGCCTTTGATTAATTCAAAAGGAATCTTGATTAATGTCTGTGGGTGTGTGTTTGTGTATCTACTCTTCAACTTATTCTATGAGTACAGAAAAAGAAACCAGCTTTTCCATTGGAACCGTTTGAGTGTTAAACTAGGGAGCACTTTGGTCTCGAATCTAAGTGTTTGTTTTGTCGCAGGAGTTTCCTTCCTCTGCCTGCAAATTATATTCAAGCCTACCTTTATCATCTTCTACCTACAATCTTCACTCTGTCTAGACCCTAAGGATAGTTCATTGCCTTGTCTCTCTTCATGCCTTCCGTATCTAAGCTTCTACCTTTCAGAATGGTGAAAAGCAGTGCCTTTGCAATCATTCTCAATGCAGTCATAAGAAAAAGTTGGATCGCCTCTGCATCTTATGCACACCGGCCTTCCCATTGATGCAGGTCTTGTGTATTATTATTTTCTCTATGCTAAAAATTTATCAGGCGTTTTATAGCTGACTAACTCGTGTGCATTGCAAACTCTGTGGGCTGAAACAGATTCTCAATATATGCTTCTGCATTTTCTTATCTTTTGTGTGCTTTTTCTCTTACAGGTTATGCTTTTGTGTATTTTGAAGATGAGCGTGATGTTGAAGATGCAATATCCCTTTTGGCTATGAGAAATGCAAGCTCTCTCTCGAATAGGCCAATGTACCTCTCTTTCTTGTTCTTCTCTTTTCCTATCTAATGACTCATATATGCTCTAAGTTTTTTTTACGGCTTTAAGGGGAACGTGGAATCCAGGAAGATTCAACCAAGGCCCTTGACTGCACACAAAACAGATAACAAACTCACACCATTTGTTACCTTTTGTATGTCTAAGTGATAGTGTTTAATTTTTTTCTTTAAGAACCACTAATTAAGAGACTCCCATTGGAACATAAAAATATGGGTGTCTCTTAACTAAATCTTTTAAGTGACATATAATACTTAAAAATGATTAAGAGACAAAAATGAGTTTTTGGGTTAATGATGCTCTAGGGCCCCTGATTTGTTTTAAAAGGGTTTTAAATCTTAAGTAAAAAGTTGCAATTTTGTTTGAATCCTGTGCATAAGCACCTTGAGCACATGCCCAAAATCGGGTATGTTGTTCAACGAAAAAGTTTACTCTATATAAAACATGTGAAAAATATAATGCTAACATAGTGAACTCATCCACATTTTCTTTTACTTTTTTTTTTACCAATTTGCGTTAGAAATCCACCAGTCATAGCCTAAATCACTTTGAATGTATGAGTATTTTATGCATTTGTGTGTAAAATTTTGGTCAAAGGCCTCCTTAATACAAACATATACATGATTTCTAACTGAAATTAAAAAAATATAGTAACTAAAAAATTACAATTTTGTTTAATAATAGGGTGAATTGGCCTAAAATCCATAAAGAACTTGGATATTAGTAATATGCCATGGTTTTGGGGGAAAAATAGTGAGAGGGGGGGAGGAGAGATAAGAGAGAAAAAGGGTAGATAGTTAATTTAGGGGTTTAGTTTGTATATGGGATGCAAATACTCTTAATAATAAGCTATAATTTGGAAAAAGTAATTTTTTTGATTTATGTGTTTTGTTTTTGACACCTTTTTGTCATGATGTTTTTAGCCGATAATAGAAAAAGCAAGTAAATCAACCGTTGGGAATGAGATGACGAAGTACTAATATTAAACAGAATAAAGTGATGTCTTTTATTTTTTATTTTTTATTTTTTATTTTTTTGTTCTTTACTTTTAGAGACGAAACTAAAAGAAGATGATTGTGAATAATGTTTCTTCTTCATCTAAACAAGAGTGATACTTGATCAAAAAAAAATAATCAAAAAGTGGTTTGAATCCAGGAGTTATGGTATCAAATATCCCTTAAACTATCAAATGTGTTTTTATGATTAGAGTGATGGCAAGATTTTGGGAATCCGTATTGGAAAAAACTACTAATTGTTGTGTGAAAACACATATATCCGAACGGTGATACAAATGTACCCCAAACATCATTACAAAACATGTATTAACTAACTACAAGTACAACATATTTTTAGAACACATATTGGCGGACGATATTATTGACAAGATTATCTTTATCTTTATATCATGCCAACCAAAGCCAGTTTCATTGTTTCAGTCTTCTGAACCATTGATGAAAAATTTCACATAAACATACATGAGTTGTGAGATAACATCATTGTTAATGATAAACTATTTTATAGCAGCTAACATGAACCTATATATATAACCGCTAACCAAACATTTATCAACTAATAACTAACATAACACATCAGAGAAATTGTCTATCAGCTAATTAACAAGAAGATTAGCCATCTATATTGTTATTAAATACTCTAACAGTCAGATCTACGAATATTATATGTTTTTTTAGTTTTAATGCGATGACAATGTCTGTTAAATAAAATGATCACTTCCAACTATTTAAATGTATGTTATTTCAAGTGTTATTTGGATGTTACATAACAATATATGATTAGAGGATCGATTACATGGCATTCTTCATCAAGATCTATTGTGTCTCCATGACTTATACTGAACCCCTTCCTTTCTTCCCCATGAGCCACTATCTAAAGAACACTGAAATTCAAAGCTAGAATAGTGAAAAATTCAAGTTGTTACATCATCTACATAACAGAGTACAACTGTAAATGAAAAAAAAAGTAAAGCAAGGATGTGCATTGATAAACTTTGGAATTATCACCAATACACATAAAAAAACAAAAATCAAAGTTGCCCATTTGTACGAGCTAAGAGCATCTACAAGGGTGGACCTCTAATTGGGGTCCTTAGCCCTTTAATTGTGTTTTTTTTTTTAATTTTTTAATTAGTTAATGACTCTAATCCAAAAATGCTAGTGCAATGGTGGATTCTATTTTGGAGTCCTTAAGAAAAAAATATTTTTTTTTTTAAATATGAGAAATAACAAGTTTTTATTTAAAGAAATGAAAGTTTTATTTATTGCATAATTAAACTCAAAGATACAATAATTATTAAGCTTGATCACCAAATTTGATCCAAATATTTTCGATCAAATCCATTTTCAGTTGCTCATGAATACGCCGATTGCGAATATTTTTCCGTACGACAAGCACATTACCGAGATTAGACCGGTCGGTAGTATAAGACATATCCACCCGTGAACCTCTCGATGACTCCCCTTCTGCAAATCCAGATGTATCGTACTGAGTGTGACGATCTCGTTCATTTTCAACAATCATATTGTGTAGTATGATACATGCTCTCATAATGTTCCCAATCTTTGCCTTGTCCCATGAAAGAGCCGGGTTTTTCACGATCGCAAATCGGGCTTGCAATACTCCAAAAGCCCGTTCTACATCTTTGCGGGTTGATTCTTGAACTTGAGCAAATAACTGTGCTTTAGAACTTTGAGGAAGTGTGATCGATTGGATAAATGTTGACCATTTCGGATATATGCCGTCAGTGAGGTAGTACGCCAAGTTGTACATGTGCCCGTTGACCACGTACTGTACTTGGGGTGATCGACCGTGTATAATGTCATCAAAAACTGGAGACCGATCGAGGACATTAATATCATTTAATGTACCTGGGGGGCCAAAAAATGCATGCCATATCCAAAGATCGTGTGAAGCTACAGCCTCCAAGACAATTGTCGGTTTTCCTGATCCACGGGTGTACTGTCCTTTCCAAGCCGTTGGACAATTCTTCCACTCCCAATGCATAAAATCAATGCTTCCTATCATTCCAGGAAACCCGCGTATCTCTCCAATATCTAATAGTCGTTGCAGATCTTCACCGGTGGGGCTTCGTAGATATTCATCTCCAAATAACTGTATTATTGCTTTAGTGAAATTGTGTAAACACGCAAGAGCCGTGGATTCACCAAGGCGTAGATATTCGTCAACCGCGTCTGCCGCAGAACCGTAAGCCAGAAGACGAATTGCAGCCGTGCATTTTTGTAGTGGAGAAAGACCAAACCTTCCCGTTGCATCTCTGCGGTGTTGAAAGAAGGGAACGTTCTCTGAGAGGCGATAGACAATACGCAAGAATAATTCCTTGTTCATGCGGAAACGGCGTCTGAATAAATTTGCTGGATACGTCGGTTCTTCGGTGAAGTAATCATTCCATAAACGCTCGTGTCCTTCTTCGCGATGTCGTTCTATGTGTGCACGTCTCGTTTGTTTATTGGGTTGGGCCTCCACTATGGTATTGAAGGTTTCTTCGATGACATCGTCCAGAACGTCGTCCAATCTTTGTCCAATTTCATCAGATGAAGATGATGACATTTTGCTAATCCCCCTTGAAACACCTGAAATATCAAAATTATGGATGTGGAATTCTTTCAGTTTCTTTAAAATTTATGAAGTTTTACAAAACCGATCATTAAATATGTCACCCGTTTATATAGAACTTTTGCTTAAGACTAATTAGAATTCCATTTTTATTACAAAACCGATCAGTTTATATAGAACTTTTGCTTAAGACTAATTATCATGAATTCCAATTTTATTACTCTTGGAGATTGTTTGAAACATTTACGAATAGTATTAAACATTTACGTATTGTATTAAACTTAAGTTTTGAAACTTACGTATACAAGTTTGGTTGTATTAATATGATGCCATGCCAACTTAAATTTACAACTAATTAGTAAATTGACACAACTTAAGTTTACAACGAGTGGATAAAATTAGACAAAGCTGAGAACATTATAGACAAACATAAACATTATAGATAAAATTGGACAAAGCTGGGAACATTAGACAAACATAAACATTATAGATTTAGCATAACCTGTTTACAAAAGAAGCTTCAGCAACAGCAATACCAAAAGAAGCTTCAGAAAATATCAATACAAGTTTTTTAGAGCAACATGAAAGAGATGGGATGGAGGAAACAAGCGAAACAAATGGCTAAATACAGCTTACATGAAGTCAAGTAAACAGTAGTTGCCCGTGACATGCTTCACATGGCCTACAAGGGGAAAAACTTGAGCTTCTCCGAGTAATTCCGTGACTACTGTGACCTGCAACAACAAGACAAGAAGCCCGTGAGTATAAAGATAGACACAAGTCACAACAAGACAATACAAGTCTAAAAAGATAAGTCACAACAAGACAAGACAACAAGCAACAAGTCACTCTCCAACAACACAAATGACAAGGGAAACAAGACCATTTACTTACGGATAATTATTCTTAACTACACCATAACCTTAACCTTAGAACACATCACAGCATCTCAGCCATGAGCTTGATTGTAAGAGCCAATTCAATCTCAGAGAGTGGCTCCTTCTTAGCTAGCAAACGGTCAAGGATTTTCTGTTTGGAAATTTTTTCTTTCATTTCCAACAGGATCTGGATCTTTTCCAACTCCTCCTCCTTACCAGTCTTCTTGCGCTTACCAGCAGCTTTGGCAGCCTTCACTCCAGCAGGTCTGGCATCCTCTTGATCACTCTCCACCACCACAGGTTCTTTATCAGCCTTCTTCCTCTTATCTTTCACAGTGTCCTTAGCGGCAATGGTAGAGCACCATTTACTGTCATGCCTCAGCTCCCTCCAACAGTGCTCAAGAATGAAACTGGCGTCGTAGTCATTGCTGAAGATGGTATGGGCACGCGACATCAAATCATCATCGTTTCGACCACTTCTCTGCTCCCTCATAGCCGCTTCAAAGCTACCAACAAACTTGCATACCTGATCATTAATCCTAGACCACATTTGCTTGCACTGAGTCAGCTCTCGAGGTGTTGTCCCGACGAGGAGTGGGCTTGAGTTGTAGTAGTCCTGGATTCTTTTCCAGAATCGACCACCTTTCTGCTCGTTGCCCACAACAGCGTCCTTACTGGTGTTTAACCACGCACCAATAAGGATGATGTCCTCTTTGGGAGACCACCTCCTCCTCTCCTTCCCACTACTCTCAGCAGGGTCAAGGTCATAGGGAATTTGGGAATTGAGAAGGTTAACATATCCCTGGTTGGTATCCATAGTTATGGTTTGCTCTGTG